TTCTGAGCTGTTAAGGTAAATGACAAGGGAGGTAACTTCATGAGATGTCAGCTAATAGCCTATACAGATCAGAGCAACTTCAGCAATATAGCTATCGAATATATCATGCATGCTGCAGGACAGATGTGAGGATATGAGCATAAGCAGTTAAATGGTAAGGGGGATAACCAAATATGATATCAGCTAATAGCTATACGGATATGAGAAAGCTTCAGCGGTAATGCTATCGAACATCACATGTGGGCTAACTGCTGATCATGACGACAAGCAGAGGTTCCGCCTGAGTCCAAGCATAACCCATTACTACGGTTCAGTCAAGACTTGGCATGGTGGTTCATTTTAAGTCTATGCACGTTAGTTGGGGTTGAAGCTTTAAATTGTAGCTGATCCTGATAGCCTGATAGTAGTTATTGTTGCTGCCCTGTTGTTTACGACATTTTATCTTGCTCTCGATTAGTGCTTTGCTGACCCCTCTGTGATGTAACTTGTCCTTATGTAAGACTCTGATGTTGCTGACTTGGCTATGTGCGCGCGATATTGCTCTGCAACATTTCACTTGTAAGAGGCTGAGCTCTGGCCTAAGAATCGAGGGCACAATCAAGACGTAGGCTAATGTGTGTTTGGAGACAGATTCAGTGTTGGGGTCAAATAGACTATCAGTTGGTGCATCATTGTCATTTGCTGTTGTATGAGGCCCATCTGTTGCTGTCCTAACGTGGGCGTGGCCGTATTTACTGTTGTGTCCGTTCCCGACATGCGCAGAACGTTCGTAGGGGGACTATAATCTGTCGTTATGTTCATACGCGGTTGTGCTACTGAGGCAGATGAAACTCTTCGCGAAGTAGTTCCTTCTGTGTTCTGAAAGTTTACAGGATAATTCTGAAGATTTGTCGGAGTATTCTTTGCAGTGTCTCGAGGAACGTTAATTTCCGCCTCGGTGGTCGTTTAAGCTGCATCAGCTAAGGCAATGTCTTGATCAGCTGCTGCTGCGGGGGCACTTGCGGGGAAACCCGTGCGATTTAGCGTTATATCTTTGTTTAGCTCGTACAATGTTTTTAACACTGGTTTAGGAGTGTTGTTTGCCGTAGTTATGCCCCTATTACATGTACTCTGTTCTGCTCTGAATTTCGTAACAGTCCAGTTTAATGGGTTAAAGAGATCGTACGGGACTGCCCGCGATCTTGTGTTCACACGATTTGGTCTGTTAGCCATTGTTACAAATGTAAACACATACACGTGAGGTTTCCTTGAATTGTCTCAACACATGTACGGAACACAGATATTGAATACAACAAGTTCAGAACTATTCTGATTTAGTTATTCGTCTTAGAAAAGAAAAGCTCACCGTAACGCAGTGTCATTGTAACTGACCATCACGAAACAACAAAGCATATGTAAACAAAAACGCACGTTTGGTCGTGTCCAGCGCCGTGCAAAGTAAAACTCTAGAGGAAAGAAAATTGCACCTGTCGACTTGAAAGACATAATTTTCTTCACAATCCTCGGATAGAAAAATGATAAAAATTGATATTCCGATGGTATAATACTGAAATTGACAGAAAGCAATAGACAGTCCGACACTCTCCTACGACTTGCCTAGTAAGCTACTGACGCTGATTGACTGTCACGTGACTGTACTGTCCAGTCTCCTTACGTTTGACCAGTCACGTGGTCTTGACTGAAGCTATATTTTTATATATACAAGTGTTCCAGCGTATATATATATACACCAGCGAGTATGCATTGAAATGCATTACCCACCCTCCCAAAGCATTCTACTTAGACACTACATTAATAGATACAACACAGTATGAGTAACACTGTACTTTAGTGTTGTATATAAACAAATCTTATTCAATATCATTTCATAATAAGATTTCCAAAAGGGTAACAGCGCCTGTCAAACCCTTTATTATGTGACAAATTTACATATCGTGCTAAATTATTCGTTCACTAGTATTTCAAGTGAACGATGAAAGTTACAAGGTTGCAGCCAGCATCAAGGTCAATTAAAACAAGCAAATTCGTGGATATATCCCCCGCTTGCAGGACATATTGTAGGTTAACATTATGGAGGTTAGGTTTAAACATGTGAGTATCGTGCTGTTGAGACAATGTTTAGCTTGAAGCTTGAAGAGAAAAACAAAAAACCTATACCTCATTGATTATACATAGATATGCACAAATCACATCGGTTGGCAAACTTAGCACGAGTCAGATGTGCATACGGAATTTGGTTGAAACATCTGAATAATATCTACAGCAATTACCAGACGAAAAACAAAGAGTGCCCTAGATGGGTGAACAGACAGAGGAACACAAACATTGTTATTTAACCCTGTTACCAAGTTTGAAGAATGTTGGTTAATATTTGTTGTAGTTATTGCATGGAAACGAAACGCGGGAGTTATTGACGATTTTCATTACTCAAGGAACCATTTCTCTGTCAAATGAAGTCTGCTGCAAGTGGTCATTGAACTTGGCCGAGCCCTTAATGCATTTGACCCTGTGACCAAGTTAAAAGAAAATTGGTTAATATTTGTTGTAGTTATTGCACGGAAACCAAGCGCGGCAGATAATGACTTTTTCATTATTCAAGGCCCATAACTCCGTCAAATGGAGTCTGCTGAAAATGGTCATCGAACTTGGCCAAGCCCTTAAGGCATTTAACCGTGTGACCAAGTTTGATGAAAATGGTTAGCATTTGTTGTACTTATTGCACGGAAACTAAGTGATGCAGATGATGACGTTTTTCATTATTCATGGGGCCATAACTCCGCCAAATGGGGTCTGCTGAAAGTGGTAATCGAACTTGGTCAATCCCCTAAGGCATTTAACCCTCTGATCAAGTTTGAAGAAAATAGTTAACATTTGCTATAGTTATTGCATGGAAACGAAGCATGACAGAAAGACAGACAGACAGGCAGGCAGGCAGGCAGGCAGGCAGACAGACAGACAGACAGACAGACAGACAGACAGACAGACAGGCAGATCCCCGATAACAACAAGCCAAAACATTTACAATGTCTTACGGCTTTTTGATATTTTAACTGACATAAGGCAATTGATGTGGTAAGCAAACAGTTAACAGCAGGCGATTGTGAATGCAATCGATACTCATTTTGTTCACTGTATGAAAAATGAATAGCCTCAAATTTTGATTATAGAAATGCACGCTATCGTAATTGACTGTCCTTAATATTACATTCATCTATCTGAACAGAGCGTTTAAGGTTTTATGATTTAAGGTGGCTCGACACATCGTCATCAGCGTCCATTTTCGTGACATACTTCCGGAAAAAGTACAGCTAGGACTCAATTATCTTAATCGAAATGTGCATGTACACCGTGTCGTCATTTCCGTATTGCGTATCGGGCATTCAATATCGTAGTGCAAATTATAGTAACACCTGCTGGGCCGTTTTCGTTTAAACGGTCAAACCGATCGGACCACTGTTGTTCGTTTATTAAATAAGGTCGGACCTAGTAATCTGATGCTGCTTTCAGGCGAGTCTTGAGAAAGCCTTGCAAGGCCTGCATACACATTTGCAGGTCCGCCAGGATTTACACCCGAAATTGTTACATTTATAAACGGTCAAACCGGTTGTTCCGCATAAACGAACAGGCCCATGGTAAACAATAGTACACGTGCGTGCCGATGATATGTCAACACCCGATATCAAGATTTTACCGGGAAATGTATACTCACACGTACTTCAGGAATAAAGCTTTCCAATTCATAGACATAAACAGACTCACGGGAAGACAGTGACATGAGACCAGACGACCTCAAGAAGGTCATATAGGAAACACATGGAATGCGGACGTACCAACCTCACATGTGCATATCGCGTGTTTACACGAGTTCATAAGCTCGAGGTCGTTACGATTTTCGCTGTTGAGGGAGTTTCGCTCTGTCGATTAAATCGTGTTTACAAATGTAGTCTACTAGCTTACTCTGTGAAAATAATGTTTTGTAAAATATCAAGATACCTATGAAATGCATGTGTGAGTGCACGTGAGAACGGTATACCATGCGATAGCCTCTGGTCTGACATGTAATTATAAATATACCGTGAGTTAGCGGACTGTGGAATGATGTCCAAAGTGTACATGACTGAGGGTAATTTGGTTCCATTAAAGAACAATAAATTGATAATTTTGATATCATATTTTTGATTTATTTCCATCATTTTTGTTATATGTAAACAGAGACAACTGTCATTGTGTAAATGTCACCCCTCTGCAAAAAGTTCCGATTTTTTTCAAGGAAGATAACTCTCACCCGGATCAAAGTGATTGTAAAATGTAAAATAAATTAATTATAAAGCCATTGTGTATATTTTGTTCAATTTCCCACTCTATATGTATAGAACTTTGTGTCCTGGGTGCTTTTAGCTTGTAGATAATCACTTTTATCCGTACAAATTCAATAAAAAACACTTTGTGTAACATGTGTTACATATTTTGCGATAAATAAAATATTTGTAGGGTTAATTAGAAATGCTTCTTTGCATTTTATTATTGTTGTTATTGTTCCGAACAATGCCACACACAAAAAAAACCGGAAAATATTAGAATTGACGAAAATTCAATTTTTTGGTATTTTTTCCAAAAAATTCCCCAAACTATCGGAATGTTTAGATTTTCATAAAATCAACTCGACATAGTTGCATAACAATTATATGAAAGTTTCAACGAATTTTGCTGGTTAATTGCGAAAGTGTGGAGCCACCTTAAGGTATCACATTCCTGTGTTTTTTTAAACGATGTATCACCTAGTAGTGCAGAAACCAGCTTACATAAGGTACAAACTATATAAACATATTTAAAAGAAAATATTTCCATAACCAGTATTTTTTTCCCACGTTAACAATGCAAATTGCTTTCCACGTTTCAAATAACTAATCTCAAGTTTCATTATGTCACCGTGTTATAGTTCCCGGTCGAATTAGGTCATAATTGACTCTGGTACAAATATGTGCACGAAACAAGTTTCATCCGGTATGGTCGTGCTTCATAGATCTTCTTTATAAAAGTAAACAGACTAGGATCGTCAAGGTCTGCGCCTGCAGTCAAACGAATCTAAACCTTGTTGGTTATATGAAAACCAGGAAGCTTATGAAATACATACATGTACATGTAGGCAGAAATGGACAGTCTGCAGGAACAATTCTCCGAGTTTGGAACAAAATTACGACAGACAGATTTTGTTCTAGAGGAGGGATACACCTTTATTAACCACGGATATGTAGGCGCTGTTCCAAAGACAGTGATTGCAGCAGAACAAAGGTAGGTGCTCCTTTTACATTATATCAAGCATAAGATTGCTGGTGTTATATTTAAATAATATGATACATTGGTCAGCGTAGTAGTAGCATACAGGAAGTAAAAAAAAAACAACGTTGGGTTCAACAAATCGCATTATAGGCAAGTCATATATAAGATTTCTTTTCAGGTTTTCTAGTACATTGGCGGATGTTTAAAGGCTACTGTACCTTCCTTTTCGTTTGGTGCACTGACGAACATAAAAGGCAGCTAAGCAATTAGCTTAATTTACGCTGCTAACGTCATACCAAGTTTTGTAGATTTACTGTTATTTAAATTTAAATTTTGGTTCAATGATTGGCTGCCGATGGGAGCGTCAGGGTTTCTGAGGCTGGTAACTGATTGGTCAAGGTATCAGAGGTGACGCTATCTCACTCTGGGATATATTCCCGTATCAGGCAGCCACTGTATTTGTACGCTCATCAAGCTCTTAGGAATTTTGTTTTTTTGTTTTTTTGTTTTTGTATACATGTCTTGGTCGATACCGAGACGTATCGACGTTGATAAGGCGACCGAACCATTCGGATAAAGTTTCTGGACTGTGGCATCAAGCTGCTTTTGTCAAAGACGGTTTTCAACCCACGGACAGGATTCTGAGGGATCGTCGATTAGAGATGAGACAGAATTGAGAATACGTTTTGTTTGTTTGACGTGTAACTAATTATGGCTGTTCTTCGCACGAGGGTATCATTTTTAGGACACAAGTTTTCTTAGGTGACTTTGTCACGAGGTTTATATAGGCAGAGACGTATATCGTTACAGGCTTATGTGTTGGAGGGGAAATATAATAGCACGCCTCGTGCCCCGCCATTTTCAGGATGTTCACGACAGTTTTGTTTTGAAGATCCAGCTCCACGTTGTATTAATTCAGATGGTCGGTAACAGTTGTTGTGACTCTAGATTTTCTCTTTCTGTGTTTGCTGATACTGTATATAACTCCGCTGTCGCACTGTGCAAGAAATACGGACAGTGTTTATATTTGTAAATTATTTTTTTACGCGACCAACACCTGGCGACCAACACCCCGTGGTATGGCCCCAGCATTTGCACGAGTTCAGGAGGTGAACAAGGCCTTGGGTAGATTGTTCTCGGAGTCGAGAGGATACGAATTCTATTTGTGGCAACTTAGACGTATTTTCAACAGTAATTTAAACTTCTTTCTGGAGGATGGATGTCGTTTTAAACGCCATAGGGATGCGAATGTACTGTCGTAGTGTTACACTAGCAATCAAGACGACATGTGATGCCTAACGTAGGTCTACGCAGTGTTCGGGCAGTCGATAAGATAACTGCCAGGTACGTTAATTCATCCATGGGTCGTCATGCATTCAAGTTTGTCTATGTAGAAATAAGGGTCAGTGTTCATGATGATTCTCACACGTATATGGTCTTATCTCTCTCGATAGGAAAGGATTTTTATATATACATATGTATATGACCAGTAACTATTTATGTAATTAAAAACAAGTTTTTGTGATTTAGTACACAATTGGAATATGTGATTGTTTTCAACATTTTTAGGGTTCCCTCAGGAATACAACATATGACGAGTAAGTCTTTTTACAAAAGTGTGAAATTAGTTTTGTGTACACATTAGATTATGTGATGGTTTTCACATAATTTGTATTCCCCGGGTAGGAGCTCGAGGGCTTTTTATGGTAATTAAAGGCATAATTTTGTATGTTTTGATCACCTTTGGAATATGTGATGGTTTTCACATAATGTTGGTACTTTGGTAGGGGGTCATGACTAATAAATATGTTTTGGTAATTAACATGCTTGTAATACGTGCAGGGGCATGCATATTATCTTCATTGTCATTTAGTCTACTAAAGGATATCTTGTATATAAGATAATAATTAGAGACTAATTTCCCAGTTCAAAGACAAATTTCCTCTTTATTTGATTTAAATACATGTATAGTTAACCAGAGTTAAGAGACTAGTATTGCCTGTGTTTAGTATACTTTACATAAGTTTAGAGACTAGATTTCCGAACAAGAATCTACAACATATGCCTTTGTTCCGTATATTTGACAAGAGTTTAGAGACTAACTTCCCAATGTTAAGCCAATCTAATAAAACTTATAAGATATCTCCCCTGTTGTTAAGTTGCCTATTTGGAGTTAAGAAACCAATTTCCTTGTTGTATAGTATACTGGATCTAACTAAATTTTAGAGATTAACCTCCGCTTTGTTTATTTTTGTCAAGAGGTTTGGTAATAAACTATTGTTAGACGAAATTTCTTTTTAAGCGAATTATAGAGGAATTTCCAAACAATGGGGAATACAAATGTAATGTATACGTATTGCAAGGAAAGATACTGTCCTGATTGCTGCGCTTTAGTTAATTTTCTTTGTTGATATTCGAGTGTCTTCATTATATCGATTGAAACAGACAGTCGCATTAATGTTACATTTAATTATGTTGTTAGCGCAAAATCAAGACGAAGCTTATATATAAAGGGTTTAATTTTCCTATACAAAGTTTATTATTTCTTCAAGTCTGAAATTTAAATGACGATCTTATCAACTTACTCTGTTGTGGGGAGTTATTGTGTTTATTTCTTGAATTTTAACAACCAAACCTGTTTATTGACATGTAACCACTGACGTCATAATACGCTTGATAGCGACAGGTAAATATGTATCTTATGGATGTTTGTTACAATGTACAATGGGTTTTGTTTACACAAACATCCCGTCAATTCCGTAGTGGATATATCTATAGCAGAGTTTGGTCGGGAAATATTCATTGAGGAGATAGCTCAGTCGGTTGGAGAGATAGTATAACAATATAAAGTTCAGGGCTCGTATCCCGGTCTAGCCATTTTTTTTTCATACACAGAACACTGTTGATTATGTTTTGTTTGCTTTAACTCTTTTATATTTTCGTGTAACTCCCGCAAAATATAGATTTCTTTTCATAAATGAATATCAAAGCTTAGCAATGCCGGAAAGAAATAACATACACCAAATATAGATTTCCTTAATATTTTTGATATTGATTCTGGCATATTTGTGGCCTCGGCTGCAGTTGAAATACTTATTTTAATCTATATATTTAATTGTTAGTCGCCACGGGCAGACCCAAAAATCTTATATTATTCTATACACACAAGTAAAACACCAATTGTTGAGCTAGTACACCACTAGTCTCAACACAACACAAGTATGGAGGCACGTCACTCCATAAACACCAATTGTTCAAAGCCACCAATTACGTATATGAATAAATTTGCATTCAACCCTGGTATCACAACGGTAAAACGCATATCAACTATTAAGGTAAACTAAACGGTTATGCCGCGCGACGCCAATTGATCCCAACATGAAAACTTGTGTCATGATGGGATCACTGCCACCTCTTAGGGGGGAAGGCGCGGCAAATTTTATATTACAAGCCGGGCCACAATTAAATACCTAACTTTGTGTATATTCAATACATCAAGATGTGGTCACGTACCACGTACTGTACACATTTTAATGGTCCGGTGGAAACACTTTCCCTCTTTTTAAAAGGACCCACTCCAAACCGCCTTGTAACCTGTTAAGAGAAATACTATTCCCCGTTTCTGACAGATGTACATCGTCCTTAAAAAGTGACGGGTATTTTGTCTTCATGTCCGGATGCTTAATATAGCTTCCCCCCATCTCAAGCACCGCCTTGGCACACACTGAATTCAGTTTTAGCCTACACCTTTCCATAGCGCCAGTGTCCGCAGTGTACCTATAGCGAAGGCGGGGCAAAATCTGGGACCATACAATAATGCTACATGTATATGGGAACTGCTCCCGTACCTATTTTAAAGTTTCTTTCGCACACCTGCACAGATTCCCAATACTGATCGTGCCCAGATCATTTCCTCCAAAATGGACTAGTAAAATGGAGGGGGTATCGCCCACTTTTGACAGCACCTTTAGTTTCGCTTGCAGTTTCTGTAGCGTCAAACCCCCATATCCCTGCTACCAGATGTTAGCGCCGAGGTTCCGATCTAAGGTGAGATCTGCCCCCCGGTCTTGTGTACGCCGCAATTGCCCATTCCGTGCGAGGGACGAACCGACGAACCACACTGAAAGGCTTAGCACTCAAATGAGTAGTTTCCCAATGCAATATACATGTTTCCAATATAACATTGGAATAATAAGATTATGTAATATAAAATAATTCCTTGAAATTGGTAAACATGCCCCCTAATTACCTCCCTCGCTTCAGTACACGGTAAACCTAGACATTACGTTTTAATATGATCAATGGGACGACGGACAACTGGCATGCGGATGTACGTCTTAAACGCTTCCGAACTCCATCTACAGGCTGTCTGTATGAAGGAGTTTGAAAAGCCAGCAGCAGAAGCCGAAGAAGCCGCCGCAGTACGAAACGAGTGGGAAGTGCACCTTTCAGACCCCCGCCCCAAACATTTTAAGGTCTTGCATAAAACTGCCGAAAACTGTTACCTTGTCATAGGCCTCCCTCCAAAATGGCATAACAAAGGACCCTGTTGACTTGGCCTCACTGACAGAAAGTCACAGAGGCTTTGAACTGGACATAATGCACATGACCCTTCTGTATTAGCAATGCTGTACCTTACCAACCTGATCAATTTTTGAAAACTTAATTGTCAATGAAATGGTCTCCCCATTTACACTTATCGAAACATCACTGCGTTGTAGTACAAAGTGAGGCATACGACCATTAGCCACGGTTATCTCCCCTACCCGCAAAAAACCCACAAAATGCAATGTTATAGGCGAGTTTGAACAACTTAACCTCAAATGAATTCGAACAAATGCTAGAAAGTGCCTGAATTATCTGCAATGACAACTATGATGTTATTGGAAGGCGCGTGTCAGCACGGTGTTTTAACCGTTTTATGCCTTCCAACATTTCCGTAAGTAAGAAACTTACATATGATTTAGCTGTAGCTGGAGACTTCCCCTCCAATGATAAATAAGCTATGAATTGGGATAGCTGGTCTACTGTGGGAGGCCACATCTTTCCGAGCCTATGGCAACTCCTAAATTGTTCAAAACAGCTGATTCCCGTGTTGTAAGCAGTATGTGTATTGCTAGCCATGGAAGCATTCACTTGTCTTTGAGATTCGTTTCGGAGATCAACCTTTGAAACCGCTCTGGTATTCCTTCTGGTGTCTCGTGTGCCTCGGGAGCCAACTCACAGAATCTGCGCCACTTCTTGTGACGGGGAAGGTGGTAACTCTATCAAATTCTCCGGTTGAGGTTCCTCCCGGGGGCCTTCCACCTCGACCGCCGGGGCTGGTATTGGGTCCACATCCACGCGTCCATCCTCCTGGTTGGCTGGTCCCCTCCGCTTGGCTGCCCCTCTTGTACCCGCTTGGGGCCACTGGCCCACGGACTTGTTCTTTCTTTTTTGCATTCTTTGTTTTTTCTCAGAAATATAACAAAAAAGAAAAAAGAAACTTTCAATTAAAATACATCATTGTTTTTTTTAAAACACACTTAAGTTTTAATACGCCAATACAGCATATTACATTGTAATATTAATATATCTGTATGTATCAGTGTCCCCTATATTAAACAGGAATTCGATTCAACGACGCGTACAGCGGCTATTAGTATTGTAAACAACATTGAACAAACCTACACTTGGACGGCTCGCTGGTTCTGATCGGCAAAGCGGCCCAGTAATACATTACCTTTTTAATTACGACTGCATTGATTCATAAGAATAGTAGTTACTATATCATTACTGGTATAAGTTCTTTTAAAATCCCGTACAACACCCCAGCTTGTCGTTAATACAAATGGAAGGTTCAGCCCGAACGTACGTGTGTATCACCCGTGTTCCACTTTACCAGGGTCAAGGACGTAATTATTACTACAATGTTAGTTCTTCACAGGTATCTAGTGCCTCTAACGAATCGGTAATGTTTTATTTTCATTTTATTTTATTTGTTATTTTTTATATAACAAATTAAACAATAACAGTACGACGGAATACGATTATGTCTGTGCTATCTACTATCTAGAAAGAGTTCTATCATCATCCACCCCTATCATCACTCATGCACATATTATGCAGTTACATGTTTCATAAGATTGCCACCCTACAGGCTCCTCGATCAGAATTTTTTTTCCGATGAACATTTTCCAAACTGTCTACATGTATTATATCAGAAAAATCATACATGCTACAATATCCACCAACATCGATACATATTTATGCCAAATCATGATGCTGGATGACCATGATAAATTAGAAAAAACATAGATTTTTGCTTGACCAATTTCACTTGCCCGATCTGGAATTTCCATGAATTAAAAAGGGAGATAACTCGGTATTACCCTGAATATTAAACTGGTTCTCAGTTGTATCCTCACTGCGCTGTTTGGTACTGGAGGTAACTCGGGTTATCTTTTTTAGCCGAGTGACAGAGCTGAACCTTTTATTTTCTGACTATAAAGTAAACGATTTCATATTACATTAAATAGTTATAATTATTTCAATTGTATTACCTAATGCTAATTAAAAATATAGATAGTGTGTATGTATAATTGTACATGGTATCTTTCCGATGTAGATTCAAAGATGAGACAAGGAGACAGCCTGCAAATTACTTTCTTAGGAAGCAGCTATCAACATGGATAAAGGGTCGGGACTCCGTGGCGGATTTTCTAAACGCTGATCCAAAAGACGTTGTCCTTGTTCCGAATGTCACAACAGGTAAAATTCAATTTAGAACAACTCGCCCAGATTACAGTTCTTCCATTCAAAGTAAGATGGACGAATCGGCCGAGGTGTTCCGAATGGTAAAATTAAAATCTTTATATCCGATAAAACTAAAACGATTCGAAAGTCATAAAAGGAATGCGTTCACAGGTTAAAGTAAAAGTGTTCCGAAATCCACTTTTGACTTTAATCAGGNAAAATTATATAGGGCGCTTTATAAATGCTGTATATTATTATTATTATTGTCACACGCTAGGTGATGTAAGTTTCCCTATGGTAAAATTTAAAGTGTCCTGAATGTCACATTGAACAAATTGTTCCCTAATTCAAGCAACATTAAAATCACATTGTCCTGTTGTTGCACAATATGCTTACGCTCAAAGTGTTCCGAATGCCAGTATTTTCACAATTAAGATAATGCGAATACCATTATGTAACGTCAGCGTACCCTAAATGGGACACTTGTGGGAAAGCGGTCAATTGTTAGGCACGCAATGCAAAGAGTCTTTTTGTGTGTATAAAATGTTCACTGTATGATACGTTTATGTAAAGTAAACTGTACCTGAGTTTTAGAAAAATTACAAAACAGATTATTTTCGTAATTTGTGTCTTGCCGTGCAATGTTTTTTTTTATTTGGATATTGTTTTCAGGATCCTATTCCTTAAAACTAATGCTGCTTTTAATAAGAAATTTCATTATCACCTCCTTTGAATGTAATCGTCTACTTAAATTGATCATCAATCCAACAATTTTAGTCAAAATACTGGATATATCTGTAGATAGTGATTTAAACAGTACTTTTAAGTGAATGCAACTTCTTCACAGTAAAAGTGAATTATATATATTTAGCGCTACGTATCGTTGTCTCGAGGAACCTGGTCATGGTCATGGGTATTGGATATTTTCAATTGCCAGCAGAGATAAAGTCTAGTAGCCTAATTGTCACACAGTAGAGTTGTACACTCCTTCCTTCTTCTTTCCCTCTCCCCTGGATATGATCTCCTATATAACCATTAGGTATACAGGAAATCCTCGCCTGATTAAATTTATTTTCAAGATGTTATTACGTATGTTATACCTACACATTGAAACTGATCTTAATGGAAGCATATCTCGTTTACATAATCTGATCATGTGGCTTGGGTTGTCCACAGCTTGGGTACTGCATCAGATATAAAAATATGAGTGTTAGATATAAATCAACGCAATTATCATATCGCGTCAGGTTTGCATTTGCATATATAATTTAAATATTTATCCTTTTAAATACATCACACGGTTTCACCAAACGTGTGTTTTGCAGCCTATCTAGCAGCGCACAAAAGGGAGGACATGTCGTCTGCCATTTTCTGTTGTAGACGAAGCGGTTTCATTACCTATCCCAGTGGCGGATCCAAAGACCTATCTGGGGGAGTTTCCAAATTTCCAGGGGAGGAGGTCCAAGTNTATAATATGCGGGAAATATGCGACCCGCGCTCGGAGCGCACTTCCAACTGATATTTTAGAAACAAATCGTCACTTTCACACACATGTCGCACATGGATCGAAAGATCTAATCTGTATTCTCAAATGACGTCTTCAGCAAGGGAGATAATTGATATCCAGTTGTAATGGATACGTGTGTGTAACCGTCGTATTTTTGATGTTTTGTAGGCATCAGTTCCATTTTGATGTCTATTCCTTTCAAGACAGCGGACACCATCCTTCTCACCAACCAGGCATATCCATGCATAAACAACGCATGCTCCCAGACCTTACATCATAATAAAGGTTAGCATACGGAACACGTGTTGTGTTTATGTTCTTCTTTACGAAACATATATGATTGGCAAATGTAATGGTGTAGTTTGAGGATGGCCGTACCACTGTCCAAACCTGTAATGATACATTATAAACTTTTATAAATCAGAACTAAAGTTTTGATAGATCATGAAAATACAATACAGATGAAATTCGTAAAAAAAAGAATGTACAAGAGTAATATCAAAGTGGTACTGTATATACAAACAATTCACATATAAAACGTGTCGCAAAGTTGCAAGACCGACTGGTCCCTTGGTCAGGCTATGACTAAGTGAGCGATTTGTATTGTTACCTGTACAACAGTTTGTCGAAATTGTATATTTTATATGTAACTTGACCTGGGACGTTTCGCCTATCGATACAGAGCTAATACACACTGTATCGAATAGGTTACTGGCAGGGTGTAGACCTATCCCCCTCTCCCATTAGATCAGTATCGGGTCATTTAGACTCAGCTGGTGTCCAACGTCGTCTCTGTTCATGTTTTGAGTTTGTTATATTTTGATTGCTGCTTTGATCTTTGAGGATATGATATCGGTTGTTAGCGTTATCTGTTAATGCCAATTTAGTGCACTGGGTGACGGATACTTTGCATGTGGTTCTGGTAAAATTGGCGTTGCTTATTTTCTGTTCGTCCTTTTGATGCTCTTTCTAGATCTACGCCCTACCTGTAAACTATCTGATGCAGTGTGTATACATTCTTTATCGATATAAGAAACACTTTTGCCATATCGTTGTACAGGTAATTAATACAGATCACTCACTCAGTCATAGGTTGACAAAGGGACCAGTCGGTCTTGACACGTTGCGACACGTTCAGTACGTGATTTGTTTGTGTGTAAAGTAAACTTTGTTATATTAGATATTTCCAAACTTGATAAATCTTATTGAAAAAATACATTTGAGAGTGTTTTCAGTGTCAAAACGTAATTGGAACAAACAACGAATCGAACCCTGGACCTCTGATCATGATATTGTCTCTCTGAGCAACTGCGCTACAAGGTTAATATCCCAGTCGCGCTTATTATATCAAAGCGAAATTAATAGCTATCACTATATGGACGAAAAACGATAGTGGTATGCTCTATTGTTTTTGCTGCAGTGGGACAGGGATCCTCAATCTTTGATAGTGATAATAAACGAAAAACCTTTTTAACGATATTTTATGTAAGTAATGATGCAATTAACTTAGTCATATGGACTTAAAAACGGGTACTTGCTAATGTTTACAAGAGATTGATGCAAAGTGTACCTAAATATTTTCAGACTTCTATACAATTAACTCTGATTGTAGATGTTATTTATTCACAGGTGTAAAAACCAAAGTGGTCAACATTGACGTACCTATCCAGGATAATGCTCAAGTCGTCAACCTTTACCAGGAGGCGCTGGACAATGATCCGAGCGTCCGAGTTGTTGTCATGGGTACAGTATATATACAAGCAATTCCATGGTCCTTTCAGGATTACTTTCCATTGTGTATAACATAATCAGTGAAATATTTCTAATCGAGTAGAGGCGAGAATTTATAAAAGTTTTAGTAATAGTTTTGTGTTTTCAGAATACATTCCCTGCCCTTGTACAGTGCAGCTTCCGGTTGAAGAAATCATACAGCTTTGTCAGAAGCGCAACGTTATAACCGTCATCGATGGTGCGCATGCTCCTGGGCATATTCAGCTCAATCTAGACAAAATGGAAGCTGATTTCTTCACAGGTATTAAACTTTTTATCGTACGTCTTTTAAAGGACATTTGAACATTTAAAAAAGTCACATAGCGAAAAGAGACAAAGTCACTTTTTTGTTATATATTATCATTTTTTCACTACAAAAGGACCTTTTAGAAATATAAATACATACATCAAAAATATATTGCTTTTGCAATTTTACATCAAAGACGATAACGGCAATGCTTTCAGATGCAATTGCCTCATTGTAATTGTCATTCAATTAACGGGCAATGCTCTAACTGTTTTGAAAACAATGTCGGTTTATTACTGTTTTCACTTTTAATCAATGATTTTGTGAAACGTCCTTTATTGAAAACGTTGCAACAGATCACGACTTCGGTGATTTAAGTTTGTTTCTGTTAATGTACGCAGATGTTTTGGTAATATTTTCGGAATCTGTACAGGGCCTGCAGACTCTTCTTGATAGCCTTTTTGAATACTCCACAAAATGGAAGTTAACAGCAAATTCAGACAAAACCCCCAAAATAGTTGTTTTCAGAAATTGAGGTATTATTTTAATTATTCTAATGTTTGTAGATACATAAAAAGGAACAAAAACTATCTAGGTAGGCCTACTACTGATAGCCTTAGTGAACTTCCTTGCATAACACCAATTTGAGTGACAGGGGTATCCTTACAACATTACAGATAAATGTCACAAGAGAATGTAATTCTGGAAATGAATTATGATAGTGTACAGTGTATTAAACCTGTTATTTTGAAACTAAATATGTCATATCCTATTGTGCTGCTATACGTAACTATGACTAATCTAACCACGTGCATGTGTATTCCAGCTGATCANAACTGTAACACGAAATTAGTCAGGATGAATGTGCTTAGATATGGAGAAACACTCTGTAATTGAGAGAAACTTCGCTCTGCGCACATGGGACGAATATTCATTTCTAATGAAACACGACCAGCGGCCGTCTACAAAAGTTCACGCTTACACGAATCGTTGATAGATAAACTAGGCCTAATTTAATTTAAATCAAACGAATTAAAATGAATATGACTCACTTCAAATGTAATGTAAATACTGTACTGCACAAGAAAATCCGAAGGTAGTATCGTAAGAATAACTGGACCCATATCGAACACTGTTACTTGACCGGGGTCACCACAGCATATTTCTTGGCTGATATACCGTGGGGTCTCGAACAAAATACACGGGCCGTGACCTGCACGTTTGAGCGGGAAATTTGAAACGTCCTACCGTATCTCGACCAGAACACTAATTATCTAATTAGCCTATGTATTTATTTATTATTTGTTTTCTCATCTGTTGTTAACTACAGGAATACAACTAAAAAAGTGTAATTAACAATAGTAACGCCACTACCAGCATATTTAACAAAGTGAGTGTGAAAGGGAATGCGGGAATATGTCCAGATAGAGAGTAAAGTCTAAGGATGTGATGTTAATGGTGTTAATTCGAAGAAGAATGAGGTATACGAGTTGAGTGTGGATAATTGTTGTAAATTAAACAATATGACTTTAAAAAGGGAAAATACTGATAAGGAAAAATTAATAAATAGAGAAAAGGAATAACATTAATACAAAAAAGAAGTACAGTGATGAATGGTTCGGTGCCAAGCACCATATATACGATATAGAGCATTTTTTTTTAAAAATATATATGATAATAAATTTAACAACCACATGCAGACTAACTACTCACATTCTAACACAAAAAAAGTATGCTAATGAATTGCAATGCCTTATTATAAAAATTGTAATAATTAGACANGCAATGCCTTATTATAATAATTGTAATAATTAGACAACCATAGTGAGGAGCCAAATCTGAGAACCAAAAAAATAAATAAATAAAAATAAATGTCATATTGATACATGAAATAAGCGTGGTGATACTTTAAATTCGAAAGACACACCAAATTTTGGGTTATAAAGAATGCATATATATTGGTCCATTATCTCGATTAAATGCATACTTAAGACTTATTGCCCTCCTTTTCGGTAACGAAAATCGTGCCGTGAATTGCATTATTTTATTAATTCAAAATATATGTAAACAAAATAAACGCCCAATCTTCTACATGTGACTCCAGTTGGTGACGAAGAATGTATATTCGGGTCCATTCTATTGAAATTATACCAATTTTAAGCCCATTTCCCTCCATTTCGGTAATTCAACTCCATTCCGGTCCATTTCGGTAATTCAACTCCATTCCGGTCCATTTCGGTAATTCAACTCCATTCCGGTCCATTTCGGTAATTCAACTCCATTCCGGTCCATTTCGGTAATTCAACTCCATTCCGGTCCATTTCGGTAATTCAACTCCATTCCGGTCCATTTCGGTAATTCAACTCCATTCCGGTCCATTTCGGTAATTCAACTCCATTCCGGTCCATTTCGGTAATTCAACTCCATTCCGGTCCATTTCGGTAATTCAACTCCATTCCGGTCCATTTCGGTAATTCAACTCCATTCCGGTCCATTTCGGTAATTCAACTCCATTCCGGTCCATTTCGGTAATTCAACTCCATTCCGGTCCATTTCGGTAATTCAACTCCATTCCGGTCCATTTCGGTAATTCAACTCCATTCCGGTCCTTTTCGGTAAATTCAACTCCATTCCGGTCCTTTTCGGTAAATACTCCAACCGATGATTAAGGACTGTGAAACATGGACATATACGATAATAATAAAATTGAAATTTTCTGACGCATTCAGCTACTTAGGCGTGAAGCTATTCAACATTAATTGTAATCTTACTCAGAAGCAGCTTGCTGACCAAGATCGTAAGGCTATGCTTGCTCTTTTTTCTAGCTGTTCCAACTTAAGCTTTAATTTTAAAACTTTACTACATTTATTTGATACTTACGTTTGTAGTATACTGAATTATATCTGTGAAGTGTGAGGTTCTTGAAAGGATTTGGATATCGAAAAGGTGCACTCATTGTTTTTTAAGGGTATTCTGAAAGTTAAGATATCTACGTGTACTCATGAGAATGTATCAGGAAATATAGAATGATAAAATACTGGTTAAAATTAATAGACACGAAAAACTGTATTCTGAGCACCTTGTATTCTTTTTTAAGTAATAGTAAAACAGGTAATTGTTTTAACTTGGTAAATAACGTAAAACATTATGTATTTTCTCTTGGCTTTGGAGATGTATGGACAAGACTTTTTACTTATAACCATAAAAGTATATTGTGCCTAATAAAGCAAAGAAGTTTTGATCAAAGTCAATAATATTTAACTGGTTCACTTGAGTCTTCAACGAAATATATTCTATATAAGCATTCGGCAAATCGCTTTGCCCTGCAGTATTATTTGATAAAATATATGCCTTATAAATATCGAATTGGTTTATTGAAATTACGCTTGTCAGCACATAACTTAGCTATTGAGACAGGTCGATCTAATAATATAGCGAGAGAACAAAGAACCTGTACTACTTGTTTTTCAGACATAGAAGATGAATATTATTTTATAATATTATGTATCAGGTAAGAGTTACGATTGAAACACATAAAACCTTTTTATCGGCGTAAACCATCTATGAGAAAATTCTTCGTAAATTAAGAAGGAAGTTTAGAGTAAATATTAATTCTTATTTAACTGGCTATGAGCATGTATAGCCTGCTGTAATATATCATTCGTGAATGTTCCTAACCAGTGTATGCATAATAATAATAGCAAAATTACCTTGAAAATGTGCATCGTAATGTTACTGTATGATGATGCTGATACAAGTTTGTTGTTTTTGATGATGAGTGGCAATGATGATGATATGGTGATGATGATGTTGCTGGTGTTGACGATGAGTGGGAATGACGATGATATGGTGATGATGATGTTGCTGGTGTTGACGATGAGTGGGAATGACGATGATATGGTGATGATGATGTTGCTGGTGTTGACGATGAGTGGGAATGATGATGATATGGTGATGATGATGTTGCTGGTGTTGACGATGAGTGGGAATGATGATGATATGGTGATGATGATGTTGCTGGTGTTGACGATGAGTGGGAATGACGATGATATGGTGATGATGATGTTGCTGGTGTTGACGATGAGTGGGAATGACGATGATAATGATGATGATGACTATGATGATAATGATGGTGGTGGTGATGATGATGATGTAGATGATGATGTTGATTGTGACAAATTATAAAACTAGGGTGTGTTGTGCGCATTTGTATTACTAGTATATGATTGTATGTATTTACTCTGCCATCTTTGTAACACACATTGTATGCTTAACCAATAAGCTATTATAAATAATAAATAAGCTTACGGATTATATAAACTGTAAAATCGCTGTTTCGGTCTGCCAATATGATTTCATTGTTTTTCAGTATATTCCTTTTTATTGTATACCTTATGTAGGGTAATGTTGTGAACGTCATGATATCTCGTGACATATTTCTAGTTTATAATGAGTTTTACAATCTAGATATAGGAGTTTGATATTAGGTCAATATAATGTTATAATGATAACACTTTTCTTGCAATTGTCTTGGTTTTAGCAAATTTCTATAAATGGATGTTTGTGCCATGGGGATGTGGCTTCGTGTGGAAAAATAAGAAGGTTACTTTCCCACTGCGATGCCTCACTAGTTCGTCTCCGAATGACGACATGGTGTCGCAATTTTGTTTACAAGGCTTCAAGGAGGACAGTTCCATCAGCACCCTACCTACTGCCGTGGAGTACATACAGATTAAAGGGGGACTGGTGGGTTATCAAATATACAGTAAATTATGTCTATTTAGATATCTATATTTTAGTATTAAAAGTGAAATCGGAGCATCATTTCAGATTTAAATCGCGTCTAATTCAGTTTTAATGACATTTAGCCAAATTAAGATTGATATGCTCCGAGATTGATTTTTCTCTCAAGAAACATGGTCAAAATTGATCAGCTGTGTTATGACTGTAAACGGGAGTCGCTTTTTTTGTTTGTAGGAACGAATATCGGCATACAACACCAGACTTCTACAGATGGCGTCAGACCATCTGATATCGTTGTGGAATACGAGTAAGTTACCGATCCCATCCTCCATGGAGCCGCCATTCCTGAGGATGATCCGTCTCCCAGAAGTCCCCGGCTTCGGTACCTCACAGGTAATCAAGGACACTGTTTCTACAGTACTTATGTCCCTTACTTTGTTTTGTAAGACGTATATTAAACCTTGATTTTTTAAAATTGTTATAGAATTATAAACCTCATTTTGAATTGATAGGTTTTGCAATAAGTAAGGAAACGTAATGATTTCTGATATTTTGATTTAATGGATATTTGCGATGTAAGATGACTCCATTTTTAAAATGTGATTTATCAATTCATGCATACAGAAATTATGTAAATAGCTAAAGCTGCGAAAATTGTAATCATCTTATTAATACTAAGTATGTGATCAATGAATAACAAAAGTGGCATTCATCACAAATATAATTCGCATATTAAATAGGTACAGGTATACGATAAATTACATTCTTGATAGAGATACATCACACGCATTCTAAAGATATGGTACATACAAGGTAGTGAAACCATTCTCAAAATCTTCTTAAATATGTCTTTAATTTTAAAACAAACCGTACATATTCTGATAACGTACTTTTCTGTTTTTACTATTAACAGGAAGATGCTAACTCCCTGATGGATCTCATGTACGACAATTACCACATAGATGTTAGTCTGAAGTCCGTGAACAATCAGCTGTACGTCCGTTTGTCTGTCCAGATATACAACTGTTTAGATGATTATAAGAAGTTCGGGGAGGCAGTTATGTCGTTGGCGGAAAAAGGGAAAATCCGAAACTCGGAATGCTGACATTATTGCATAGCCTGATTTTGTTTGTTAAAAACTATCGTTTCTTACTCAGATATTCACACACAGAAGCAACTAGCTCCACAACTACAAAACAATGTTAAGAACAGTTAGTTAAGGCATTTTATCTGTCGAAAAAACTTGCGCGTTATTGTGAACTATATTTATATTTTTGTTGCCTTCTTGTTGTAATACAATAATGTATGTCGATAACGGTACTAAAGAGGACCGACGGAACTGTTTTAGATACATACACTTAGGAGGTCGTTTTGATTGATCGGACTGAGAAAAAGACATCTAAATTTATGGTCACCCTCTCCAGGCACATGTACTAGAGTGCCATTTAAAACCTCTTGAAAGTGGATGTGTGTTGATAAAAATGAATTTGTCATAGGTAGGTGTAAAACGATCCGTTAAAACGATCCTTCAATCATTTTCACTTAAATATTAAATGATCGCAAGATGAATGTGTTTGAAATATCTAAAGAGTAAATATGTACTGGTTTGGTTTGGTGTGCCTTACGTCCTATTAATAGCTGTAGTCATTTACGGACAAGCCAGGTTTTGGTAGAAAAGGTAACCAGAGTAGGTGTATGTGTGTGGTAACTTCATGAAATATCAGATAATATCCTATACAGATCAGAGAAACTTCAGCAATATAGCTATCGAACATCTCATGCATGCTACAGAACAGATGTAAGGATCTAAGCATAAGTAGTTAAATAGTAAGGGGGATAACCCACTATGATATCAGCTAATAGTCATACGAATAAGAGAAAGCTTCAGCGGTAATGCTATCGAACATCACATGTGGGCTAACTACTGTACATGACGATAAGAAGAGGTTCCACCTGAGTCCAAGCATAACCCATGTATCACGGTTCAATCAAGACTTGGCATGGTGGTTCAATTCCTGTTTAAGTCTTTGCACGTTAGTTGGGGTTGAAGCTTTAAACAGTAGCTGATCCTGATAGCCTGATAGTAGTTAAATGTTGCTGCCCTGTTGTTCACGACATTTTATCTTGCTCTCGATTAGTGCTTTGCTGACCCCTCTGTGATGTAACTTGTTCATATGTAAGACTTTGATGTTGCTGACTTGGCTATGTGTGCGCGATATTGTTCTGCAACACTTCACTTGTAAGAGGCTGAGCTCTGGCCTAAGAATCGAGGGCACAGCCAAGACGTAGGCGTCATGCTGGAACACAGTCCACAGGTGAAGCCATATTTACGTCCTTACCTTCAAGTATGGCTTTCCTCAAACTTGGTGAGACGATGCCCATGTGTGGGATCAAATCCGACGGCATTCCGTTGGATCCGATATTTCTTTTCCAAATGTCGGGCACTGGTGGCACAGAACCAGTCTGTCTGGAGGGCGTCATGGTCTCCGCAGGTATATTTGCGTATGTCAACGCTGATGTGTGTTCGGAGACAGATTCAGTGTTGGGGTCAAATGGACTATCAGTTGGTGCATCATTGTCATTTGCTGTTGTATGAGGCCCATCTGGCCCCACTTGCTGGGAAACACGTTCAATTTGGCGCAAAATATCTTTGTTTAGCTCGTACAATGTTTTTAACACTGGTTTAGAAGTGTTGTGTGCTGTAGTTATGCCCCTAGTACTCTGTTCTCTGAATGTCGTAACAGTCCAGTTTGATGGGTTAGAGAAATCGTACGGGACTGCCCGCGATCGTGTGTTCACACGATTCGGTCTGTTAGCCATTGTTACAAATGTAAACACACACACGTGAGGTTTCCTTGAATTGCCTTAACAGATGCACGGAACACAGATATTCAATACAACAAGTTCAAAATAATGCTGATTTAGTTTTTCGTCTTAGAAAAGAAAAGCTCACCGTAATGCAGTGTCATTGTAACTGACCATCACGTAACAATAAGGCATATGTAAACAAAAACACACGTTTGGTCGTGCCAGTGTCGTACAAAGTAAAACCTCTAGAGGAAAGAAAATTGCACTTGTCGACTTGAAAGACATAGTTTTCTTCACAATCCTCGGATAGAAAAATGATGAAAATTGATATTCCGATGGTACAATACTGAAATTGACTGAGAACAATAGATAGTCCGACACTCTCCTACGAATTGCCTAGTAAGCTACTGACGCTGATTGACTGTCACGTGACTGTACTGTCCAGTCTCCTGACGTTTGACCAGTCACGTTGTCTTGACTGAAGCTAAATTTATATATGATTTAATTTTGCCTATCTCCCCCATAATTTTGTTTTGGTATATATCGTATATACCTAAATGGAAAAACAACTGATGACGGAACTACTTTTTACACTTCAGAATGCAAAATTACATCGCAGCTTTGTTTTAGCGCAATTGTTTAGTTTACGTAAAAAATAAATAAAGCTTTAACTGTGCATTTACAACGTTTTTGTCTACCTTTTTTAAAATTAAATTATAAAGAATGCTCAAGATTTTGTTTTGGTTTATACGGTATATACCGAAAATATATCTTGGTCATTCCTTAAATATACCAGCGAGTATGCATTGAAATACATAACCAACCCTCCCAAAGCATTCTAAATAGACATTAAATTAAAAGATATAACAGAGGATGAGTAACATTGTACTTTAGTGTTGTATATACACAAATCTTATTTAATATCATTGCATAATAAGATTTCCAAAAGCGTAACAGCGCCTGTCAAATCCTTTATTATGTGACACATTTACATATCGTGCTAAATTATTCGTTCACTAGTATTTCAAGTGAACGATGAAAGTTACAAGGTTGCATCCAGCATCAAGCTCAATTAAAACAAGCAAATTCGTGGAATTTTTATCCCCCGCTTGCAGGACATATTGTGGGTTAACATTATGGAGGTTAGGTTTAAACATGTGAGTATCGTGCTGTTGAGACATTATGTATAGCTTGAAACTTGAAGAAAAGGAAAAAACACCTATACCTCATTGAGTATCCATTAATATGCACAAATCACATCGGTTTGCAAACTTAGCATGAGTCAGATGTGCATACGGAATTTGGTTGAAACATCTGAACAATCAGACGAAAAACAAAGAGTGCCCAAGATGGGTGAACAGACAGAGGAACACAAACATTGTTATCAAGTTTGTAGGAATTTGGCTAATATTTGCTAGAGTTATTAAGCAGAAACTGCAGATAATGGCGTTTTTCGTTAATAAAGGGCCCATAACGTTGCCAAATGGATTCCGATTAAAGTGGTTGTCAAACTTGGCCAAGCCCTTAATGCGTTGAACCCTGTTACTAAGTTTGAAGCCAATCGGTTAATATTTTCGAAAGTTTATGAACAGAAACGGTGGATAATGACGTTTTTCGTTATTCAAGGGGCCGTAACTCCACCAAATAAATTCCGCTGAAGTGGTCATCGAACTTGGCCAAGCCCTTAAAGCATTTAACCCTGTGACAAAGTCTGAAGAAAATGGTTAACATTTGTTGTAGTTATTGCACGGAAACGAAACACGACAGTTAATGACGTTTTTCATTACTCAAGGGAGGATTACTCCGTCAAATGAAGTCTGCTGAAAGTGGTCATCGAACTTGGCCGAGCCCTTAATTCATTTGACCCTATGACAAAGTTTAAAGAAAATTGGTTAATAATTGTTGTAGTTATTGCACGGAAACGAAGCGCGTCAGATAATGACCTTTTCATTATTCAAGGGACCATAAGTCCGCCAAATGGAATCTGCTGAAAGTGATCATCGAACTTGGCCGAGCCCTTAAGGTATTTAACACTTTGATAAAGTTTGAAGTAAATCGGTCAACATTTGTTGTAGTTATTGCACGGAAACGAAGCGTGACAGACAGACAGACAGACAGACAGACAGTGATAGCCCCCGTTTCGGTGAAATCGGGGGATAAAAATGTTAACATACAGCCAAAACAATTACAATGTCTTACGGTTATTTGACGTTTTAACTGACATAAGGTAATTGATGTGGTAAGCAAACAGTAAACCGCAGGCGATTGTGAATGGAATCGATACTCATTTTGTTCACTCTATGAATAATGAATAACTTCACATTTTGATTATAGAAATGCACGCTATGGTAATTGACGGTCCTTACATGTAACATTACATCCATCTACCTGAACAGAGCTTTTAAGGTTTTATGTGTTAATGTATCACATTCCTGTGGTTTGTTAAACGTTGTATCACCTAGCAGTGCAGAAACCAGCTTACATAGGGTAAACACTATATTAACATATTTAAAAGAAAATATTTCAATAACCAGCAACATTAAACAAGTATCTATTTTGCTCTTTAAACTGTTGAAGCGTACAATGAGGTTATAGCGACGTTAATAATGCAAATTGCCTTTGACGTTTTAAATAAGTAATCTCGGAAAACTTCAAGTTTTATTATGTCGACGTGTTAAAGTTTCCGGTCGAATTAGCTCATATTTAATTTGAATTCTGCACAAAATAACGTACATCGGGTGTAGTCTTGCTTCATAGATCTTCTTTACAAAAGCAAACAGACTGGGGTTGTCAAGGTCTGCGCCTGTCGTCAAACGAAATTAAACCTTGTTCGTTATATGTTAACCAGGCAGCTTGTGAAATACATACATGTACATTTAGGCAGGAATGGACAGTCTGCAGGAACAATTCTCCGAATTTGGAACAAAATTACGACAGACAGATTTTGTTCTGGAGGAGGGATACACCTTCATTAATCATGGGTATAAAGGCGCTGTCCCGAAAACAGTAATTGCAGCAGAACAAAGGTGGGTGAAACTTTTGTAAATATTAAGCATAAGGAAAGTGATGCGTTATCAACACAGACTGTTAAGTTGGATGAGTTTTTAAGGAAAGTAGAATTATGTATTATCATGTCATGTCAGTGTATAAATAGAAAAGAACATTAAAACAGAATGAAGGTCTGTTGTAATCCTAGCATTGCTCCCAAAATATATAAGATAACCCAATCCGTAGTCAATGTCATATCATATTTGAAAACAAAATAGTTCGTCATCTACTTAGAGGACAATGGATCGGAAAAACGGAAATCGAACAAGGTCATTGCAACACCTGGAATATGTATCTTATCTCCTCTGTCTTCAAGTCAGTATCTCGCTGAGCGTCTCCCCCCTCCCCCTCTCTCTCTCTATATATCTCTCTATCTATCGATCGGCTGACTCGAAACCTCACGGGAAGCGTAAAGACGAATGATATCAAAGTAACCGATATTGAAATATGCATAACTTATAATGTAACGTAAATGTGACATACTTTGGATAAACATAGTCGAACGATCCTAACCAAGAGCATAACTTACGTAAACAATGTAATTCAGGAAAGATAAGCTACTGGATAGTTAAGCCCTGTTTCATTGCTCTAGTTCTTACTCGGGGTGTGAACGTTATTACGGTCGGTGAATAGTTTTGTCCGAATATGAATGAATACGAAAATGATTTTTGTTGTTGTTCAGCTTGAAGGGGCTTTTAGTCTGGATTTCTTCAATATAGCTTGAAATTGAAATTGGGTGATTGAGTGACTTATCGGATATTGCACTTGCCTTTAACTAAATCGGCAAGGGTCTGATACTCCGATAGAGCCTGAAGAGGTTTATGACCTGCCTGACCACGTAGGTTTTATTTGGGTATCTTAGTTTCTTTCCCAAATTAAGACTCTCTGCACGCTTCAATACGGGTCAACAAAAGTTGTTTATTAATATAAAAACTTACTCATAATTTTTAATTACTATATGTTTTGTTAAACATTAAAACGACTTTCTTATTATCTTAATTCCTTGTGATTAGCTCATTTTTTTAATACAACATAATTACTTGCGATCTTAAAAACAGAGTACTGTAAATATCAAGGTGAATCTTACAAGTTTTCTTTTATAAAGATGTTTGATCATACAAAATTCACAATTGTTATCATTTCTTGATTGAGTGTGAAGTTTCAATCTTCGCGTTTTATATAATGTTACTATCAAGAGAAGCAAGACTTCAATATATCACAATTACATAGTGTTATATAGTTTGTAACCTTAACTAGCTTGGAGGTAGGAAATCTTGTTGTGAAATATAAATTGTTATGAGACATAAAAGCAAGTATCTCGTGTGTAACAATTGTAATATAATCTCTCAAACCCTTGGGTCAGATAGGGAAATCACAACCCGAGGCGGAAGATTTTTAACTTGCCAAACTCGAGGCTTTGCCAAATGTTCGGCAACATAAGAATCTTTCCCCGAGGGTTTATATTCCCCTATCTCACCTCAAGGGGGCGACTGATTCTTTTTCTCTTAGCCTATTCACCCATATTGTAGTATATTCAAATGTAATGTTAACGTTAAGATTAAACATTAAGACAAAACATTTTTGTAAAATTTCACATTCTTTCTTTCTTGCAGATTCCAAGATGAGGTGAAGAGACAACCTGCTAATTCTTTCAGGAGAAAAAATTTATCAGCATGGATAAACGGTAGGGACTCCGTTGCGGAATTTCTAAACGCAGATCCAAATGACGTTGTCCTGGTTCCAAATGTAACTTCAGGTAAAATTCAAGTGCTGAAAATATAATCCTATTTACGATTCAAGTATATCAAATGCCACCAAATTTTCAAAACTTTTCGAAAGTCATCACAAGTACATGTAAAGATGCATAAATTCCGATCAAAATTTCCAGCTGACACTTTTAACAATTAACATGATTCGAATAATTTAAGGAGATATGCTATAAGGATACATGTATGTATGGTTATAATCAAAGTGTTTTCCATATATATTTGGTAACATGCAGAGCAATCCAATGTTTATCATGAGCCAACCGTTCCGAATGTCAGCATGGTAAAAAATAAGAATGGTCCTATGTCGCTCTATACTTACTACAAACCGTTCCGAATGTTACCATGGCTGCAAATATTGCAAAAACCGTCATCAACGGGAGAGTACGAACATTAGCTACAGGTCATCCCAAACCACTGACAATATAAATTAATACAATGCAATGTAAGGATGTGACAGTTGCTTACAGAACGTCGATCGACTATTATGGTTGTATGCACTTGTAGCTGAATAAAAATATTCAGTTGTAGATGGACCACATTTACATTTTCTTCAGACGTTTTGTAGGTATCAGCTCTATCTTGATGTCAATTCCTTTTGATACGGGAGACACAATTCTGGTCACCAACCTGTCATTTACGTCTACGAATAACGCATGCGCACAGCTCTTGCATCATCATAGAGGTTAGCATATAATAAACGTAGTGGTGTTCTTTCTACGAAACATAACTGGCAAACAAATGTTCTAATAGTGTGTTAACAAAACTAATGAGGAAACATATATTACGTTTGTCAAACCAGTCTTTGGTTTATTATTAAACGGTGTAGGCTTTTTAATGTCAGTCATTTAATGTTAGACTAAAACGTTCCTCACCTTGCATCTTTGTTCAACAGCATGGAAGAAAGTGTCGAGTAAATGTAAATCTATACAGTTTGTTTCATGTGTTGTGTATTTTACCTGAAAGCCAATGTGGTTTGCAAAGCGTAACTGTAAGATGTTCAAAGTAATTAATGAAAAATAAATATGTTTAGACTTAAATACGAGTGAAACTGATTGAAGGTGTTCTTTCACGTACAGGTGTGAAGACCAAGGTGCTCAACATTGTCGTTCCCATCGACAATTCAGCTCAAGTCGTCAACTTGTTTGAACAGGCGCTGAACAATGATTCGAACATCCGAATCGCCGTCGTTGGTACGGTCTTTTCAGTATTAACTTTTCATTTTGATTAACGTTTTCTTAAATGATTACCTCCCCTTCCTACTAATGTTACCTATCGATCAAAGGCAAGAATAAACACAAATAAATAATAATCTTGTTTGTTTTTTTCAGATTATATCTCATGCTCGTGCAGTATGCTGCTTCCGATAACAGAAATTGTACAGCTTTGTCAGAAGCACAACGTTATAAGCGTCATTGATGTGGCGCATGCTCCTGGACAACTTCCGCTTTGTCTTCACAAAATGGAAGCTGACTTTTTCACAGGTATGAACCTGCTAGTTGTTGTGCTAATTTTAAAAGAAAATGCATTTTGAATCATAACGCCAAGCACACATTTTAAAACAAAACGTTATACGGAACTAAATAATAATACGGACTGAATAACCTTGGTACTATGTTTTCCCTAAAACTGTTTTAAAATACTTCGGAATGTTACAATTTGTATGTATAACATTGCAATCAACTGTGATATATATACTTGGGCAATACAGTGTGCAACGTTGATAACAGTGCTGCCACAAGTCTTCGAAGGAGCTTAATTAGTACTGTTTAACAGATAGAAACCTAACGAAAATCAATAATAATAACACCATTTATTAAAAATGTTCGCATATTCAATGATCAATACATTTTTTAATCGATATATCGATTAACTATCGGTAGTATTGTACGTATTTGAAATATTTTTGATACTGATCTTTCCACTACAACTTGATAAAGCCTGTAGTTTCCTGTGTCGCCATTGCTTGTCTGTTGAGTCAGAATATGTGTCATGGAATAGAATAATTTTACATGTGATTGGCATTAGAACTAGTTGGTATGGGTGGTGGTGTGGTCGGGTGGCACAGTGGATAACATACTCGAGTTTCACTATGGCGGGCCGGGGTTTGATCCCCGATCAGACGTGCAACGTTATGGGTTCATTTGCCCGACCAAGTGGGTGTTGGTTTCACCCCACATTAAAACCCTCATCCTGGCGAACAAAAGTGATTGCATGTAGTATAAGGTGAAATAACTTGTTTCATAATTGTTGTATAATAGATAAAGTTTATATTTTTACCGACACCGTGCATGTTTGAATGGCGACCGTCAAAAACGAAGGTTATCAATGCGCTGGATCGAGATAAAATCAGATAAAAACTATCGAGTACCTGAAATAGAGGTTGACTAAACTTACGCTTGAAACGGTTTATTTTATATTTTTATTGAAAAGTATTTTAGGCCTCTCATATGGAAAGCGTTGTCAATTTTAGTCACCTAGATTATTTACATACCGCTGAAAAATGTATATCCTAATACCCTAATGACTTGTTTTACAGAAAATGTCGTATGTTTAAATATAACGCAAAATCACTATATTTCAAAAACTTGTCATTAAAAAATATAATGGACTCTATTGTCTGACCTTCAGTAACATAAAGAGAGGAGGCAGTGCATACATATCATATACACTATAAGCGCCTGGAGGTTAACGACCGACATTATACATGTACTTGTCCCAGATACTCTAAACATATATACCACGGAGTACATAATCAAGACCGTAACTCGCAATACACCAATAACAGAAATGACGACATTACAATTCATATGAAAACCAGATCAAAGCCAGATGTCTTGGAAGGATTATTGATACCACAGGTGCCTCATGTCATGATGTGTCTCGCCTGGACAGTATGATCGGGCAACCGGAGAAGGTTGAATTTGTGAAAAATCCAGGCATACAATTGTTTGTTGATCACACAGACACTTGAGACAGGCAGCTGGTGTTCGGGATCAAAGCAGAAGACACCGATAAGTTCGGTAGTGATACTGTTAAGTCGCTCGGAGGTGCAAAGACGAACTTCAGTTATAGTCTCATAAGATGAAGCTGCTATCGGCAGTACGTTAGTAGTAATATAGAAGGGCTTTGCCACACCTAATGTAAATATATATATATACACACACCATATACATATATATTTTGGGGAAAATGTCTCCCACATTTGTAATTACTTTAAAATAACTTGGACTGAAAATCTTTCACCTTGTCACAGCTACATAAGTCAAATAAAACCTGCAAAGTAATTATCTGAATACAAATCTGTAATACGATCAATCAATCATGATGGCATTTAATTACAAATTCGTGAAAATAATCTGTTATCGGTCTCCGAATGACTGCCTGTGCTCCATGGACATTCCTGATAGTATGGACTATTTTGCAAAACGTTGTGAAACGATTTTTATCCACCTAATTCTCAATTTATATTACAATGAGTGAATTACATAATAATCAAGGTTCCTTAGGAAAAATCCAAGTGAAAATAGTCTAACATGTTTATCAATACACCCAAACTTCACGACTGCCACAAACAGCATATACGGAGCACACCCACAGACCGAACCTGTCCGCTGGTTTCCGGTTCCGGTGTGATCTCCGTCAAGACACCAGCTCTTCATTCCCTGAACTATCTGCCGAAACAGGTTCAGGTGGTTCAGGTGACCTGGCTATATGTCATATAGGACTCATCTCACTTGTATGGAACGGACTAGACAAGGGAAACAACTCAGAAAGATTCCTCCTTTGAGCTATTACATACCTCTCCACCTCGGAGTCCGTATCGTAACTTGACTGCTCATGTGTTTCATCCTGTGATTGATCGAATATAGTCCTACATTGTCTCTTGCGAGTCAGTGGGACGACGATCTCCTCACTAGGGATCACATTGAATGGTAACAACATGTTACGATGGAGGGTACGCTGGAATCCCTTTCCACCTTCTGGTTTGACCTTGTAGACTGGTACCTCAATGTCAGGTATCTCGGTGACAACGTATGGGTCATGTTCCCATCGGTTTGCCAGTTTGAGCTTCCCCTGAATTCCAACCTTTCTAACCAGTATTCTGTCTCCTTCCTCAAGTTTTTACTCTCGCACTTTGGCATCATAGTGAGTATTATTACGAGCAGCATTTTTGTTAGCCTCGTCTGCAGCCATACGGTACGCATACTGGAGCCTAGTTTTTAACTTGCTAACATATGATACCGGATCAGCTCCCCCAGGTCTGGTTTGTTAGTACCTATGTAAAAAGGCATCTACTGACAATCGGGTGTGCCACCCAAACATGGCGTAATGGGGTGAAAAACTGGTAGCATCGCTCCTAGTAGCGTTATATTTTTGGACCAGCGGAGAAATGTAAGATTTCCAGTCTAGCTTCTGGTCATCTTCTAGAGTAGCTAGCATTTTCAAAAGAATCTGGTTGAAACGCTCAGCTGACCCGTTGCCCATTGGATAATATAGAGTTGTCCGGATTTTCTTTACCTCAGCAATCCTACATAGTTCCGTAATGACATTGATCTCGAAATTCCGACCTTTGTTACTATGGAGCTATGGAGCTACGGAAAGCTGCAGTGGACAATAAACTGTTCAAACAAGGCTTTAGCTGTTGTTTAAATAGTTTGGTTTTGACAGGAAATTGCCTGATCATATCGAGTGAAGTGGTCAGTAATAACCAACACATTCTCGCCCCCCCCCCCCCCCCCCCCCCCCCCTTCGACCTTCCTAGGCTAAGAAAGTCGATGCAAACCAACTCCATGGGCCTTGTGATCACAATGGGAACCATCTCTGCCAATGGTTTCCCAGGAGTCTTTCTCCTGATACATCTACCACATTGTTCTATTTTCCTATTAATATCCCCCTCCATACCAGGTCAATAAAATGGTCTTTCCCTTCCCCTGATGTCCAACATCATCGTACACACCCCTCAATGCTTGAAACTTATACGCTTCTGACAACACAAGTTGTCTCACCTTCTCACAATCTACAGTTGCGGTTCTGTACAAAACACCATGCTCAGGGGAAAGACGCTTTCGCTCCCGAAGGTACCTCCGCACCTTCGGCGACTCACCCATATCTCCCCTTGCACAAAAATCACCACTGCAGATGTCTACAACTCTAGCCAGTACTGAATCATCCGACTAATCAGCCTTCAAATTCGTGTTAGCCAGCTCACCACCATATACAGCTCCCTCCTCGGCCGTAGGAGTAATTGGATCAGTGGTGACACAATCAGCCATTACTGACTGACAGACTGCCCCAACCATATCGGTAAACAACTGAGGCTGACGGAACAATCCATCCACATTTGCATTTTCCTTCAAGTTCTGTAGGTTATTGTAAAATCATAACCTGCTAGAACGGCTACCACCGATGACTTGTAGCATCGAGCTTTGCCTTGGTTAGCGCTTAAGTAAGTGGGTTATTGTCAGTTAAGACCTTGAAACTGGTTCAATGCAAATAGTCGTGGAACTTATCAGTAACAGCCCACTTCAGAGCCAAAAACTCTCGCTTGGTTTCAGACAAAGGCTTGTATATGCAATGACCCGTTTGTGACCTTGCTGTTCCTGGTACAACACTGCACCAAGACCAGAGCCACTAGCATATGTGTGCACTAAGAAGGAGTTGTCGGCATAGCCCAGAATTGGTGGACTCAACAATTTCTCCTTCACAGTATCAAAGGCTGTTGGTCACCCCACACCCACAGTGCATGATTTATCTTTTTAGTCTTAGTTTTGTTACTGGTTTTCAATGACCCATTCCCTCTCAATAAACTTTTGAGTGGCTCGACAATCTTAGCATAATCCTTGATACACCTTATGTAATAACCAACAAATCAAAGAAACTGTCTAGTATCCTTAACATGCGTTGCTTTGGGCCAATCTACAACCGCTTTCAATTTCTCGGGATCTGTTCCGATCCCCTTATCTGATACGACATGGCCCAGATAAGTTACAGAAGTCTTAAAGAACTCGCATTTGTTTGGTTTCAACTTGAGACCGTGTTGCTCTAATCGAGAAAACACAGACTCTATCCTCTTGATGTGTTCCTGAAAAGTCTGGGAATATCGTCAATGCACACCAAACACTCTCGCAAATGTAGTTCCCCCATACACTTTTCCATAAGTCTTTGGAAAGTGTCGGGTGCATTGGTTAAACCAAAGCTAATACGGTTGCATTCATAAAAACCAAGATTTTCAACTGAGAAAGCTGTCTTTGGTTTATCCCCCTCCTCCATCTCGCCTTTAAAGTAACCTGAAGGTAAGTCGAGTTTAGAAAAGTTCTTTGACCTACTGAGTGTGTCAACAACATCGTCAAAACGAGGCAACATATAGGCGTCTTTACGCGTACGTACATTTATAGTTCTATATTCAATACAGAATCGTAGAGATCCGTCCTTCTTTCTCACTTAAACCTCGTTAGATAGACCTACACCTGCCTGTAACTTG